TAAACAATTAAAATACAATTTTAATAAATTTTATACATGCGGTTATCGATTGATTCACTTGATGTTATGTGTTCAGTATATAAATAGTCCCTACGCAATGTTTGTAAACAGTGGAGGGGGTTGTGGGTCAGGAGGTGAAAAGGTCGAGCGCATTGATCTGGTTATATAAACTGATTACGCAGCATCAGCTTACTACAGACGCTGCAGACATCGCCTACAACCACAAAGATGGACACTGGTCAAGGTCAATTTTGTTGTCTAAAGTACAATAATTTTTGACCCACCTCCTCCCCATCTTCCTCCATCTGGTATTGCTGTACTTACCTGTTAATTATTATCCAGGTGGCGGTTTTATCCCCACCTAGGACCAAACTATTTTATGTACATGTTCCATATTGGTTTCTGTTTTGGAAATATTTTCAATTGTCGTTTATACAAATTAAACGGCCAACGTTAAGGTCATGGGTTCGAGTCCCGTGATATTTTCTGATTGACTTTTATAATGTTATTTTATAATTTGTGTGTGTTCTCAAACTATAAGACTAGATATAACAGATTTGTTTTTATCAAACTCAAAACCATTATTGCATCTCTTGGGTACTGAGCTACATGTAATATCTATGCTTAAGTAGTGTACACTAATACTTTCATAACTGGGATATCTTCTGTGTGAACAGCTAGTAAGCTGATGTTGTAACACACTGTCTATTTCAACGTGCATGTTTTGCATCTGTTATTTACAATAAAAGGTTAACAAAACACTTGGACTTGGACACGATAACTTGAGTTCAAGTCACGTTTTATACACCTGTTATGTGGTATATGTTCATGTTACTGTGATAGAGTTAAAGACATGAATCATGTGCAGTTCTATAATAAGTTTATCATTGTTAATTTAAAAATAACGAAATCAACATGTGTTTATACTGACAAAACACATAGAATGTGTCGGGGAAGGCCATTAGGTCACTCATTTATATAATAATAATGTAGTTAAAACACAATATGGTTGCAAGTACTCAGTAGCTTTTGTTCTTTTAATAATTGCATCAAACATTTATGTGAAAGATGCGATTTACATTAATTGTCGACAATATTTCTCAACAATGAGAATCTATCAAGCACTATTGTTATTTTTCAAGGATAAAATGCACTCCCAACTTTTCATAAATACCATCGAATTAATTCAAATTCA